AAACAAGTCAAAAAATTTATGATAGACCACTCTGATCATGATCACTGTCATCCCGTCTTTTTCGAAACATCAAAATATATAGGAAGTTTCGAAATGTTGACCATTAGTGACGGCAGATCGTCGCGTTCATAATACTAATTGTACCTTTAACTGAACATTTACTCTATTGCTGTTTGCGTTTAGTGAATAATAAAAAGCTTGATTTAACAAGACTTCGGACATATAATAAAGTGACTACTTATGGGGGACATCAACCTCTATTATTCAGTATTCTTGAAGAGATCTGATTTCTAATATCTAGGTGGTTCCAGATGCCAAATATGATACTTAGCAGAGTTGTAGATCTTTAAACCATACACAGGATCTTCGATATATGTTTCAGAGACAAAGATCTTACTTCTAAAGAGCGAAGTGTGGCCTACCAGAGTGAGAAATCCGGAGACGACAATGCACCACCCCCAGCCTCCATCGTATACACTGGAAGGGACCATTGGTGAGGGGCTGCTTATGGTCATCTCAGGTGTATCGGTAGATGAGGTAGAGCTCCGTTTCTTGGTGAGAGCAGTATTCTCCTTGGGAAGAGCAGCATTCTCCTTGGAGAGAGCAGCATTCTCCTTGGGAAGAGCAGCATTCTCCTTGGAGAGAGCAGCATTCTCCTTGGAGAGAGCAGCATTCTCTTTGGGAAGAGCAGCATTCTCCTTGGAGAGAGCAACATTCCCCTCCTCGGAGCCAGAGGAAAGCACTCTTTCGAGGGCAACGGATGCTAGATGGTTAGCACGCCCCTCTTCTCCAGGGATAGGCACTGTTTCGGCAGCGTTCCCCTCCATCGCAGTGGTATCGGGCATGGGTAGAGCAGCACCCATCATTGCAGGGACAAGCACTGTTTGAGCAGCATTCTCTTCCATTCCAGGGATATCAGGCATGGAAAGGGCAGCACTCCCCTCTTCCTCAGTGACTGTTTGTGCAGCGTTCACCTCCATCGCAGGGGTGTCGGGCATCGACAGGGGAGCACTCCCCTCCTCCTCAGGGACACACACTGTTTTGGCAGTGTCCCCCTCCATTGTAGGGGTATTGGGCATGGGTAGGGCAGCACCCCCTGTTTCTTCAGGGGCAAGCACTGTTTGAGCGGTGCTTCCCTCCATCTCAGGAGTATCAGTCCTGTCCAGGATAGCACTCTCCTTCTCCGTCATGGCTCCCTGTCAAAACAAGTTATTGTTATGAATATCGTAAATACTGCTAATGACAGCAACATAATTTTATCAGTATCCTTATTATTAATAGGCATATATAAATCTGATTAGTAATGTCTTGTATCGTATTCGCAATGTATGTTGCCACGTGCTGCGTGAATCTCACGTTAATTGTCATTATTATCAGTACTATCATGTGCAAGTGCTGTACACTGAACATGATAGTGAGCGCATACTACCTTTATAATTATCCGATTTAATCAAAGGCCAAGATCTATATTTTCTTTTAGATAATGGCAGTGACATGCTAAACACATGGACAACTACTTAGTGCGTTTTATCTTTCACTTTTAAACTGATATTGTCGTAACTGTCGGCATACGACCAATGGTGAATGACGAGTAAAAAAGAAAAAAACATCCACTAAATATAAGTTGAGACATCTGCAAGTACAGGAAGCTCGTGCTTATTCACAAGATCTCTGCCTGTCGTCCAACTAATGTTTGGTGACAAGAGGAGCTCCCCATCGCTAGCCAAGTAACAATTAATAGATAGTTTCCTGTAATACCAAGCCAAGACCACTAGTTTCTCTGAATACCAAGGGCCATCAATTTTCTTGAATAACTGCCGCTAGGCACCACTTTCCTTTCTGCCACCCAAGTTCCAACTACTTAAAGGCATAATAGCATGCCCCTCAGTCAGCTGTTTCAAGCACCTCTTGGCATAAAAGGTATCTAGACCTATCTATAGGAATCAGATACATATATAGACCTTAAAAGGGTCTATATATGTCTATACAAAGGTCTATATATGTATATACAAATAAATATATACAAAGGTCTATATATGTATATACAAAGGTCTATATGTCTATATAAAAGGGTCTATACATTTCACAAATCGCCTTGAAAAGGATGTAGATAGGTTAGCACTGCTGTGAGCAATGAACAACGCCCTTCTGCAGCACCTACTGTAGTTAGTCCCGAGATCACTGCGACACTGCCTATTGATGAAGGAGAGAACAGCCTATCTTAGACTAGAACCACAGTACTTCGCTTCACTTCACTGGTGAAGCCATGAAATCTGCAGCACCCAGAGGCGTCTGGAACGCATATCAAGCTTTTAGCAATGGAAGTGGCATTTAGTGGTAAAGGGGCCGCTCCATGAGCAAGTTTGCGTTCCCTAGCTTCACTCTACTGCATCGTCCATTCTTATTCCTCTTGTCTAGTCTGCGGCAAAACCTTTTAAAAGATGCATTTCTCCCTATGGTTTACATTCTACTTCTTACTGATATAGTAAAGGTAAAATAACTGATGTCGTAGTTCAAATATATGAACCCTAGAAAAGGTGGAAAGGAGGTATATCCGTTAAGACAATTAATATACTAAGTTTGTAGTAAACAATATCAGTTTATAACTTATCTTTCCTATATATTCATCTTATTTACTAGACTCGATACAATTATGGCACCACGCTTCAGCCTGACTGACTGTTCGACAGGTTAGATAGACTAGTACAGATATATTAATACAGATTTAAATATTGATATATGTGGGATAAAATATGTAGATCCTATTTCTTTGATACATTTACTGCCACAAACAGGATTAAAATAACACTTGCATATACTAATTATCTCGTTATTTTCGTTGAGAAAAGGCAGTAAGTATGATTGGCTAACACTCAAAGAATTTATTATCTTTGAGGGAGGCCAGATGTGATTTGCGGCAGTAGCCCCTCGGCTGGAGTAACCGTACGTATACAAGAATTTTGCGGAAAAATACGCAAATGATAGAAAGGAAGGAAAAGAATCAGTAAGCAAGATTGAAGACTGCACACGGCGACCCGAACGAGGAAGCGCAACAGGCCAAGCAGAGGGCGGGAAACTGGAACGAGTGTCCATAGCTCTGCTTGTGACGTCATCAATATGCTCAGGCGTTAAGATTTCGAAACATAAATGTAATGCTTAAAAATTAGTAATATATATGTGATACGCATTAAAAAAGTCTGTTCCCTACCTCAATTAAAAGCGTCAATACGAAAAATCTATAGACTATTGCCTGATTTGAATTTCCGCTGCAACAAAACTCGAGTCTAAGCTTTAGCTATATTAGTATACTTCAGTTGAATATTACGGCAACATATTTAAAGAGTTAAGTGATGGCGTGCTTATGAACCGTAAAGTGTTAGAAAAATTAATTCTTCCTTGTGCCGTATGGTGGGGTCGCTGCTGTTGGTTAAAAAAATAATGATTAGTATTTAAAAAATCACAGTACGGCATGCAAATATATACTATTCTAACATGATGTGTCTATAATTCCGCACTACATGCATTATAGACACCGCCCCGTTGCTCCAGAATACGACTTATGAGCAGACTTGTCAAATGGACTGACTTTGTGCTCTCCTGTGTTATGCGTACTCTATGAATGCCCTGTGGAACGGTAAATGGCAGCCATGGTCAAGGAAATGCCAGAGCTAATATACAGAATCTCGTGAAATCGCCCAAAATAAACATGACTTTAGACTTTTGAGAAAATTGCACACGAGCAAATGACGGTACCCCTAACCTAACATCGCGCATTTCAAGAATAATGATTTACAGAAAACCAAAGAGCTTCTTAAAGTCGTTGCAATTATGTTGCTATAAGTAAATAAATAAAAAAGAATTGCATATACAAATCAAATGTCAATTATAAAATACCGTTAAACTTACCACGTGGTAAGGACATCCAGCTCACAAAATCGGTGGAAAAGGTATATATAACAACTCATTGCTACTTCCCTCAATATCAGAACATCTTTGTAACATCGTTCATACCACCCAGCAACTTTTCTGCAATAGGACTTACGATTTGCCAGCGAAATTTTGAACAAGAGCAATCGGAGATCCACCTTTGCCGATAGCCTGTGACAGTGTGACAACGACGCTAAAAAAATCTTGAATCTGCGGTTCGGAATTTGCATTACTGGCTTATTGTTTGAATCATTGAGTTATTACTTTCCGTTTCAATTGGAAGGTAATTTTTCATTTAAGTATTTGCTGTTTTGAGTTGATTGATTTTTTCTTCGGATTATAAAGCTGTTTCTAAAATGTCGACATCCATGTACTTTTTTCATTCAAGTTTATTGAATGTCAATAGAAAAAAATAGACACAATGGTTGGTTTAATTACATAAACATATGATTTCACATACTTTCAAAGTCAATTACTGACCCCTTGTCCAGCAAGATCTTATAGCATTCTATTTTACACTTCCCGGGTTGCTATTGTTTTCTTTCGTCTTTCATTGACGAAATGTATCACGTTCAAATAGGTTAACTTACACATATGTATGTATATTTATATCATGTATATGTTTATTTTTCATATGTTTTTACACATATACATGTAAGTTTATATATATATATATATATATATATATATATATATATATTATATATATATATATATATACATATACATATATATGAACACACACATCTCTCTCTCTCTCTCTCTCTCTCTCTCTCTCTCTCTCTCTCTCTCTCTCTCTATATATATATATTATATATATATATATATATATATATATATATATATATATATATATATATGCAGTGAACGCTGTTTGCGCATCGCGATTTTTTTTGGCGGGAAGAAAAGGTGCAAAGGAAGGAGAATCAAGGGGAGGCGGTGTGACACGAACGCATGCATGCAAGCATGTGGTGCTGGAGAGACTGCATTTTTCAGCGCACGTGAAGAGTGTCACGCCTAGCCAGCCTCATGCCACCTTCCTAGTGCCGTATTGCGTCGGCCACTTAAATGTG